TCCCAATTATCTCCAGGACAGAGAGGAGGGATTGTGATGTAATTGTGGGAGTGTTTAAAGGTGTATGTCTGTGATTGGCTAAGAGCCAATATGTTTCCCAGTTTCCCATTTGGTCCCCTAGGGGAGTATCCACCAGGTGGGAGACCTGCATAAAAGCTGGGCAGTTAGCCCCAGTAAACCAGATTCTGCTTAACCCTCAAAACGAAGTGTCGTCTCGTTATTGGGGGAATGGGATTGTATGCTGACTGCCAGGAATGTAACCCTTTCGTATGGTTTTCCTGTTTGTATAATTCCAGTGTTCATGTGTTTCCAGTTCGGGAGATCGGTGCTTACAGTAGCTGTCGGTGTATCAGGAAAGGGGAATATCGCCTAAACGGTTTCTAACCTCTGGTGAGCAAAACGGTCCGTTACAACTGGTGGCAGCAGTGGGATCGTCCCCACAGACCAGAAGGACAGCTACAAGACAACACCAGGGCTTGGATTACAAATAGAGAGATAGAGCTAGCTACCGTGCAGCGTCCCTATCTACAACAGCATGGAGCGAGCAAGACCTTGGATAGAATCCTGCGAAGGACACCTCAACCTGACACGTCCCTACGAGGGCGACGCTTACCGGGAGGAGGTAAAGAGGCGGTTGGTCTGGTATGGCCCAGACCCTTTGAACGAGGTGGTCTTCCAAGTAATGCGCCAGTTGAATGCTGAGAACATTGCGACAATGGTCTTTGAACAAAAACAGCGGCAGAGTGAGTTACAGGGAGCCAAAGGTGTCGTCCTTCCTCCCCAGCGGCAGAGTGAGTTACAGGGAGCCAAAGGTGCCGTCCTTCCTCCTCAGCAGCCGAGTGAGTTACAGGGAGACAAAGGTGTCGTCCTTCCTCCCCAGCGGCAGAGTGAGTTACAGGGAGCTGAAGGTACCGTCCTTCCTCCCCAGCAGCCGAGTGAGTTACAGGGAGACAAAGGTGTCGTCCTTCCTCCCCAGCGGCAGAGTGAGTTACAGGGAGCCAAAGGTGTCGTCCTTCCTCCCCAGCGGCAGTGTGTGTCCCAGGGAGCTGAAGGTGCCGTCCTTCCTCCCCAGCAGCAGTGTGTGTCCCAGGGAGCTGAAGGTGTCGTCCTTCCTCCCCAGCGGCAGTGTGTGTCCCAGGGAGCTGAAGGTGTCATCCTTCCTCCCCAGCGGCAGTGTGTGTTCCAGGGAGCTGAAGGTGTCATCCTTCCTCCCCAGCGGCAGTGTGTGTCCCAGGGAGCTGAAGGTGCCATCCTTCCTCCCCAGCGGCAGTGTGTGTCCCAGGGAGCAGAAGGTGCAGTCCTTCCTCCCCAGCGGCAGTGTGTGTCCCAGGGAGCAGAAGGTGCAGTCCTTCCTCCCCAGCGGCAGTGTGTATCCCAGGGAGCTGAAGGTGCAGTCCTTCCTCCCCAGCGGCAGTGTGTATCCCAGGGAGCCAAAGGTGCAGTCCTTCCTCCCCAGCGGCAGGGTGTCCTGCAGGGAGCAGAGACCGTCGGTCTCGCACCCCAGCAGCAGGACAAAATATTGAAAGGGGAGACGCTGGTCCCCCTCTCCACCAGCAGAGAGAGTGTCAGGGAGAGGAGCCTGCTACCCCCTCTCCCCAGCGGCTGAAAGGATATATGGGAGAGGAGCTGGTTACCCCCTCTCCCCAGGGGAGGCAGTAAGCCCCACGACCATGCAGATGGGACCATGGTCTCTGCACTTACAGCACAGGGAGTAGGGACAGTTGATTCTACCCCCCAGCGACCGGGCTCTTTAGCCAAAGGGGAGACAGTCGGTCTCCCCCTCCGGCAGCAGAGCTGTGTACCCAAAGGGGAGACAGTCAGTCTCCCCCTCCAGCCACCAGGCTCCAACCAGACTACTCCCGTGGCAGTGCTGACACCAGGGCAGAGTACCGCTGGTCTCTGCCCACTCAGCAACCCACCAAGGCAGCCTACCAGTTCCCTGCACAGCCATGGTGAGGCACCTACCCAGGTGTAGTAACCATTTATTGTGGGTTGGCTGTACTACTGTTTCTGTTTTGTGGGTGGGCTGCTGGACTAACAAGGGCACTGACCGGCAGGAGGTCAGATACCCTGTTAGTCTGATTGGAAAAGGGGAGAAATGTGGCGGAACCAACCTCGCCACTGTGCACTGGAGAAGCCTGGTTGCTCGCCTGCTCCCTTTAGATTATGGCCCTGCAGTTCAGAGCTGTTATTCTCCCTGCTGAAAGGTTTATTCGTGCCTTTTTGCCAGGGTGTTCGGTAAATTCCATCTACCGAACAAACTACCGAACGATGGACCACTTGGGAGCTGGAGTGTGCCGTCAATTGACCGCCCATAAGCTGCGGTTAACCGCAGCTTAATCGATGAACGCTGGGTGGCCTTTGTTCGTCTGCCGAACACGTGGCAGCGGCCATTTTACCTCCCGAACAGCCAGCGGTGTTCAGTGCCCAAACTATGGAACTGAAAACGGACACTTATTGGCGCGAACACCGCAGAGCCGCCAGCCTCCTTACCTTCCCATTCGGTAAGCAGAACCGAATGACTGTTCATTCGGTAGTTTCGCCGGATGAACAGCATCCCCCAGATAGCTAAGCCATGGAGCCTATTCGTGTAACGAAAGACTATGGGAAAGACTTTGGCTCCATGGCGATTGAACTGTATGTATGTGATCTGAGCGCCATTCCGTAGTAATGTGTGCTCAGATCTAAGCTATCTGGGGATATGTTGAATGTATATGTTTTAGGTAATAAATGTGGCTGTATGTAATTTTATGTCTTTTACTGTATTGTTACTGCCATGTGGTTAATGGAGTTTTGCCTCTGTCCTGGGAGATAAGTTGATTACTTCCCAATTATCTCCAGGACAGAGAGGAGGGATTGTGATGTAATTGTGGGAGTGTTTAAAGGTGTATGTCTGTGATTGGCTAAGAGCCAATATGTTTCCCAGTTTCCCATTTGGTCCCCTAGGGGAGTGTCCACCATATGGGAGACCTGCATAAAAGCCGGGCAGTTAGCCCCAGTAAACCAGATTCTGCTTAACCCTCAAAATTAAGTGTCGTCTCCTTATTGGGGGAATGGGATTGTATGCTGACTGCCAGGAATGTAACCCTTTTGTATGGTTTTCCTGTTCGGATATTTCCAGTGTTCATGTGTTTCCAGCTCGGGAGATCGGTGCTTACAGTAGCTGTCGGTGTATCAGGAAAGGGGAATATCGCCTAAACGGTTTCTAACCTCTGGTGAGCAAAACGGTCCATTACAATATGTTATACAGTTGCAAGAAAAAGTATGTGAACCCTTTGGAATGATATGGATTTCTGCACAAATTGGTCATAAAATGTGATCTGATCATCATCTGAGTCACAACAATAGACAATCACAGTCTGCTTAAACTAATAACACACAAAGAATGAAATGTTGCATGTTTTTATTGAACACACCATGTAAACATTCACAGTGCAGGTGGAAAAAGTATGTGAACCCTTGGATTTAATAACTGGTTGAACCTCCTTTGGCAGCAATAATTTCAACCAAACGTTTCCTGTAGTTGCAGATCAGACGTGCACAACGGTCATGAGTAATTCTTGACCATTCCTCTTTACAGAACTGTTTCAGTTCAGCAATATTCTTGGGATATCTGGTGTGAATCACTTTCTTGAGGTCATGCCACAGCATGTCAATTGGGTTGAGGTCAGGACTCTGGGCCACTTCAGAAGGCGTATTTTCTTCTGTTTAAGCCATTCTGTTGTTGATTTACTTCTATGCTTTGGGTCATTGTCCTGTTGCAACACCCATTTTCTGTTGAGCTTCAGCTGGTAGACAGATGGCCTTAAGTTCTCTTGCAAAATGTCTTGATAAATTTCGGAATTCATTTTTCCTTCGATTAAAGCAATCTGTCCAGGCCCTGACACAGCAAAGCAGCCCCAAGCCATGATGCCCCCACCACCATACTTCACAGTTGGGATGAGGTTTTGATGTTGGTGTGCTGTGCCTTTTTTTCGCCACACATAGTGTTGTGTGTTTCTTCCAAACAACTCAACTTTGGTTTCATCTGTCCACAGAATATTTTGCCAGTACTGTTGTGGAACATCCAGGTGCTCTTGTGCAAACTGTAAACATGCAGCAATGTTTTATCTGGACAGCAGTGGCTTCCTCTGTGGTATCCTCCCATGAAATCCATTCTTGTTTAGTGTTTTACATTTTGTAGATTCGCTAACAGGGATGTTAGCATTTGCCAGTGACTTTTGTAAGTCTTTAGCTGACACTCTAGGATTCTTCTTCACCTCATTGAGCAGTCTGTGCTGTGCTCTTGCAGTCATCTTTACAGGACAGCCACTCCTAGGGAGAGTAGCAGCAGTGCTGAACTTTCTCCATGTATAGACAATTTGTCTTACCGTGGACTGATGAACAGCAAGGCTTTTGGAGATACTTTTATAACCCTTTCCAGCTTTATGCAAGTCAACAATTCTTAATCGTAGGTCTTCTGAGAGCTCTTTTGTGTGAGGCATCATTCACATCAGGCAATGCTTCTTGTGAAAAGCAAACCCAGAACTGGTGTGTGTTTTTTATAGGGCAGGGCAGCTGTAACCAACACCTCCAATCTCATCTCATTGATTGGACTCCAGTTGGCTGACATCTCACTCCAATTAGCTCTTGGAGATGTCATTAGTATAGGGGTTCACATACTTTTTCCACCTGCACTGTGAATGTTTACATGGTGTGTTCAATAAAAACATGGCAACATTTCATTCTTTGTGTGTTATTAGTTTAAGCAGACTGTGATTGTCTATTGTTGTGACTTAGATGATGATCAGATCACATTTTATAACCTATTTGTGCAGAAATCCATTTCTTTTCCAATTCAGAGTGAGTTTCAGATTTAAGGCTGAAGTGAAAGCAGTCTGGCTATTCTCAACTTACATTTCAAATTCACCTTTAATTACGATGAAATGGAACCTGAAATTCAAAGCTTGATCCAAAATAAAAAATTTTTAAAAAAAAGCTGAAATGATAAAATGTTTTTAGTTCAGTTAATTAAAATTTAGTTTATAAATTTACATCAACTTACTGTTTAGCAAGTAGACCCCTTTCAACAAATTACACTTGTCTGTTCCATCACTTACCGCTGTTACGTTACTGATAAAAAAAAAGTTCTGTTAAGTTCTCTTTTGTGCAGGTATTTTATGAAAGGAACAATGAATTCAAGATCTCGTGTTGAAGCCTGGAGTATCCCTTAATAGATGTTTGGCACAAAAGGCTGATTGTGATGATCCTAGAAATACAATTATTGGCTTTACAGCTCCTTTAAACATTTTAATAAAAATAAATAGGTATTTACTAATCCATGAATTGCAGACAACTGACATGGAAATATTGATAAGAAAATTTCAGTCGGCCAAATAAGCTGTTACGTAGAGTTGGAAAAATACAACAACTCGTATATTTTGGCCTAAAATTCACAGATTTTACTATTAACATGACGTAAAGTCATGATTTTATTAACAACGCGGAGGCGAGTATTATGCTGCATTCTTTCTTTATTTCCCTCAGGAGCAAAGAAAAGATATAACACTAACTTAGTCTGATAACAGTAAATAGCCTGAGAGGTATATCTTCCTAGCGACAGGTTCCATTCTCCAGCATTATAGGTGGTGATAAACTACTTCCTCTTTTTTGCGATCCCGCACAAGGACAACCATCCAACAGAAAAGAGAATACCAACAAGAAGAGAATGCCAACAGTGATGCGAGGTCAAAATCAAGCTGTAATAGAGAGGAGAAATATGGTTATATCCAAGTATAAACCTGGATGTATGCATAAGTCGTATTCCAGGTCATCAAGTATAATTAGACGATAGTAGTTCAGAATAGTCTAAACGTAATTCTAGACAATCATAAACTCGATAATACCATACACTTACTGTGAAGTCAACTTACCCAAATCCAATCAATCCTCGGGATGGAAGGGAGGGATAATACTCGCCTCCATGTCGTTAATAAAATCATAACTTTATGTCATGTTAATAGTAAAATCTGTGAAGTTTATGAAGACACGGAAGCTCCTATTATGTTGATTTAAAGCTGGGAAACTACAGTCCCCGAGAAGTGTTGAATAGGTCTAAAATAAAAATCACAGAAGGTAGACTCCGAAGACCAGTTGGCCGCTTTCAAATTGTCTTCTAAGACGCAAACAGTCCAGGAGGCCTTAGAAGCCATTGTCCCTCAAACCGAATGAGGTGAAAATAGGTATCAATACCAGCTAGAGACATAATCCATTTTACCCAACAAGCAAGAGTAGGAGTAGACACTGGCAGACGATGTTTCTGAACGTAAACATAGACTTTGTGTTTCGATCGGTTTCGTAATGAAAAGGTGCAAAGTTTATATGCTGGTAGGCATGCGACCGATGGATATAAAACTGTCTTTGAGGAAGTTTTAGTTCTCAGAGAAATATCGAAGAGTACACCTTCTGGAGTATAGGAACGAGCAGTAACATCAACAGCTCAGAAACTCTCTTGCAAGAGATTAAACAGAGGAGCATTACTAGTTTTGCTGACAGTTGCTTCGGGGATAGAGAGGCATTAGTCGGCCAGGATTCAAAAAAGTTGAGGATGATAGAAGCATGCCATAAGACTGAATAATATGGCAAAGGAGGACGAGCAAATCTTATTCCGCGGAGGAGTCTACACACCACGCACCCTCGAGAAGACGGAGAGTTGATTCCAAAACTCCCTTCGATTGACCAAGGTCCCCTGAACTCAGCCACACCATGAGATGTTGAAGGCCCTGAAGAACAAGTGAATGGTACATTCCATCTGGATCTTGAAGGAGGCAGTCGACGGATGGAAAGAGATGGGGAAAGTCGATAGCCATCTCTAGGAGAGGAGGAAACCATGGTTGGGACGGCCACAAGGGAGCCGCAATCACCAGAGTTTTGGACTGGCACCATAGCTGCAGTAGGGGAATCAATGTGAAGGGTGAAAATGCATAGTTCCTTGCGGACATCCATCTTGGGCGAAGGCATTCGTTGCTATTGCTGTTGGATCTGGTCTCCAACTGAAAAACCTGGGAAGTTGTACATTTAAGAGGGAAGCTAAAAGGTCTATGTCCAGTGGGCCCATAGGTACTGGATGTCTTGAAAGACCCTGGAATCCATATGCCAATCGCTGGAGTTTCTGAGGTGTCATAAATACCAATCCGCAGTGGTATTGAAAAGACCGGGGATATATTCCACGGTAACAGATATTCCAATGCGTCAGGCAGAACTGCCAAAAATACTGTGCTATGTTCGCCGGGACCTTCGATTTCGTGCCGCCTAGGTGGTTGATGTAACGGACAGCTGATATATTGTCCATCTTCAGGAATATAGAGCACTGGGCCTGAGTTAAAGAAAAACTGCGGATTGCAAATGAACCAGCCAAGTGTTCCAGGCAATTGATGTGGAGGGTCAATTCCAAATCAGACCATTTGCCACCAGTAGTGACCTTTTCACAGCGAGCACCCAACCATGTAAACTCGGATTCTATTACTAAATCTGGTGCAGTGCCGTAAATGGCACGACCGTTCGAAGCTTCTATGTGAAGAAGCCGCCATTTCAGTTCGTCTTTTGCTTCCGAGTCCAGAATGACCATATCTGTGTAGGATGCGCCATCCTTCAGATGGAAAGCCTGTAAGTGCTGTAGGGCTCGATAGTGAAGGGGGCCAGGAAAAATGGCTTGTATGGAAGTCGCCAGGAGACGATAATTCTCGCCAATTGTCTGAGAATAAGTTGAGAGCCGCCAGCATGTGCCTGATTTCCTTTTTAATACTGGTCAGTTTTGTCATTGGATGATGTAGGGTCTGAAGAGTAGAATCTTCGAAGAGACCCAGAAATTCAATGCGTTGTGTGGGAGCAACGACGGACTTTTCCCAATTGATTAGGAAGCCTAGATTTTGCAACAGAGTCAAAATCCAGTACAGATGGGTCTTGATAAGTTGAATAGACTGAGCCAGGATGAGAATGTCATCTAAGTATATTATAAGATGTACTCCTCGAAGATGTATCCAAGTATCCGAAGAAATGAGAGACCATACATGGGAAAAATGTGTGAGTCTGCCTCTCACTACCAATAGGGAAGAATGTAGATCGTGAGGACTTACCATAAGGTCATCGTCCTGAAGGAGCGCCTTGTGTTCCATGAGCAACCCAGGCTCGACCACATTGTGGGAAAAAGGCTGGTGTATTATGAGGTTCCAGGAAACTGGCATGCCTTATATAGGAGCCTCGGTTCTGTCTAAAAGAACTCCTGTTAACACGGCCAGACAGACGACTCCTGGCTCTTCCTGGCGAACATAGCACAGTATTTTTGGCAGTTCTGCCTGACGCATTGGAATATCTTTTGAATACCACTGCGGATTGGTATTTATGACATTTGCACATATTTGTTTGCGCTTTATCCAGGTCGGTGAATGTATGAAATCTTGGCCTTTATTAGGCTTCCAACCTGTCTTACCCAGGAATTGGATTATTTTATGTTTATTTTTTTTTATTTGCATAAAGTCATGGTACAGATATCACTGTTTTGTATACATAGAATATTGAGAAGTAACAATTATCTGTATGCGTCCAATACATAGAAAACAAGAATTTGTTGATAACAATTCTCTGTATGGTTTGTGAATCAAGATGTGTTTAAGTAAATGCAAAAACAAAGAACCAAGATAGCCACGGTAGGATGGTATGGAGTGAATGTTGGAAGTTTTCCCCTTCGGTTAGCTTGCCCATGCTATTGCGTCTTGCCCAAGGGTGTGTGTGGGATCCCCCCTCAAGGGGAATGCTGAAGGTACGTGCACCACCAGGACCAGATAGATGTGTAAGAGTGGTATCTGTCTGAGAGGGAGTAGCAAATTTCCTCCATAGTCCTAGTGGTTTCCACTCTTTGGATCCAATCTCTTATGGGCGGCGGGTTTGATTTTATATAGTATATAGGGATCAATTGGTTTGCCGCTGTTATCAAATGTAGGAGTAGTGGAGTTTTTTCTTTGGGAAGGTTTAGTGGTGGGAGAAGGAAGATGAAAGAATCTGAGGTTGGGGTCAGTTTTTCCCCCAGTATCGTCTGTATGAGGCTAGAAATGCACCTCCAGTAGGTTTGGATTTCTGGGCAGGACCAGAAGATGTGTGATGCTGTGCCTGAGGGGTGATGGCATCTCCAACATTGATCAAAGGATTGGGGGAATATGTCTCTTAGTCGCGCTGGTGTATAATACCATCTAACTATTCTTTTATAGTTACTCTCTTATGTCTCTGTGTTTCTAGGTGTTTTGCGAATATTTCTAAAGATTTTGCGCCACAGGCGTCTTACAAGCATCATCTGGGACCATAGGGAGTGGGCATTGTGCCCGCAATTTATTTTGGGTCGCCTTGTCCAAAGGCTTGCGTACTCTTGATTCAATATATCTGGTTACATGGTCTGAGGGAGAACATTCTGCGGACCGTGGATGGCCCAGATCATCTGGGTCAAATGGGGGTTCACCATAGGGATCTAAAATCTTACCTGTGTCCCCTTAGGCCCCATACTCTATGTCAGCTTTAACGGGTTTCAATGAAATAAGAACTGGCCACTGTAATAATAAAATGAGTAAAACCTAAAGTGAAGGGTTGATTAACCCAGAAATAAGTATCTAGGGTTACAGGGGGAAGACAAAGTGAAACAGGAGGAAAATGTATTCAGGAAACACCACAGCCACTAAAACTAAACCCCAACTCCAAGTTCCGCTAGTTTACTGATGATCGCCTATTATGCTGGAGAGTGGCTGTTACTGTCGCTAGGAAGATATACCTCGTTATCCTACTGATTTAATGTTAGATTTTTTCTTTGCTGCTGAGGGAAATAAAGAAAGAGTGCAGCATAATAGGAGCCTCCGTGTCTTAATAAAATGTGAAATTCCAGCGATACTGTGATATCGGTAAAGGTTGGATGGGGCCTTTGTAAGTATACCCATCCTTAGTCAATAATGCCATGCACCCTGATAGGGTTAACAGACACTCAAAATCCCAGCATCTGTTGCTGTGACAAGACACTGGGACAAGTCACACAGCCTTATTTCTTCCTCGACAGATGCTGAGCACAATCCACAAAATAAATAAATAACAGACCCGTAATATCTGATTGAGATACTGCCCATTGCTCGACCCCCAACCCCATGTGTAGAGGGGGAGGGAGCGGTTTTAGTTCCTCTCTATGCTGCTATTCTGTTCACCATAGATAAGACACAAAGGGATTTTGTCTTGGGCTCAGAGCGCACGTGTCCTGCGGATAGAAATATATAAGTACATATTCTGTATCTGTGCCCCTTTCACAGCTGTGAAGCAATGGGTCTATTCTTCTTGCAGGGACTCTGTTATTCTCTGGACACTATTGTCTTTCTGTCTTCTGTGTCCCAAACACTACCCTAAATAAACACCACAAACAACGTCTTGTGTGCTCTAGGCTCTGCCTTTGTCCTGCTGCCCTCTTTGGCAAGGATTTGATTTTTCACAGATTCTCCAAACCTTTCATTTCTATCTCATTCCTTTCCATACCTAATTCATGGTCAGCTGGCTGCCTCCTTGACCTAGGATCAGGCTCTATCGGGCCTATCTACCTCACGGACTACATTGTTTATTAATGCTGGCAAAGGATGATCAGTGGCTTGGTCAAACAGGTGCCTTAACCCTTGTTTAACTCTTAAATGTCTGTCATCAGTAGATATGGGCGGTTATAGGTTGAATATAAAACTGCTGTCCCTGCCACATTTTGTTGTTTTTCAGCGGAAGGTCCATATGTTTCGTAGGTGGTAACATATCCAGCCACTTGCACATATTCATGTAAAATAAGTCTTGTTTTTTTTTAATGCATTTTACATTTTTTTATCCATAAATATTTGACACTTTCTTTATAGATTTTACATTTCTACTTAAAATATCTGCACACATTATGATCACATTGGTGGCGCGCACACATTTTTTTTTTATAAAGAGCCAAAAACGCTATAGTTTATCTCCCAGTAAACAATCCACCAAAATCTAGCACCATCACAGTATTAAATGAGAGCCCAGGATTTGTATTTATTGATTTTTTTCATACTGGGTCAATGGTTTGAGTACAGGTTGGAAGGTCTGTGAGCTGGTCGCATACATGGAATCTTATTTACACGAGCCAACAAGCTCAATGTCTCAGGACACAAACAGCAGCAATCAGGGCTGCCATCAGAAATGTTGGGGCCCCTGACACAGCTCAAGGTCTGGGCCCCCCGGTGCCTGCACCCGAGTCCGCCCAAAGTGCTGCCCCCCCCGAATCCGCCCACAGGGATGCAGTGTCTGCAGGGCCGGTGCAAGGATTTTTGCCACCCTAGGCAAAAGTAAAGTTTGCCGCCCCCCCATGTGACATCACAATGCCCCACCCATATGATCTGCCATGTTAACTAACACCAGTGCTGCAGTGCCGCCGTGTTTACATTAAAAGGCCTGCAGTGACAGGCTAGACACCAGAACCACTGCATTAAGCTGCAGTGGTTCTGGGGACTATAGTGTCCCTTTAATGTGAGGTAAATTAGAGATTTGTGCCACGAATGGTCCACCAATGAGTTCATGGTCCACCAATGAGTTTGTTCACAGGGAGTGGAGTGTGTGTGAGGGGGATGTCCTGATGTGTGTAAGGAATGCATTGTGTGAATCTGTGTTTGTATGTGTAAGGGCTGCAAGATGAGTTTGTGTATGTATGGGATGCAGTGTGTGCGTCTGTAAGGGATGCATTGAGTGTGTGTAAGGGGTGCATTGTGTGTTGCTGTGTGTAAGGGATGCATTGCTTGTGTACGTGTGTCTGTGTGTAATGCATTGTGTGTTTTTCTGTGTGCAAGGGGTGCATTATGTGTGATGGATGTCAATCGCTCCCCCTCCCCCACCGTCAATTTAGTTCTCCCCCCCTCTCCCTCCAATTTCCTTCTCTCCCCCTCCCTCCCTCTCTCCAATTTCCTTCTTCTCCCCCTCCCTCTCCAATTTCCTTCTTCCCCCCTCCAATTTCCTTCCTCTCCCCTCCAATTTTCTTCCTCTCCCCCCGTCCCTCAAATTTTCTTCCTCTCCCTCGTCCCTCAAATTTCCTTCCTCTCCCCCGTCCCTCAAATTTCCTTCCTCTCCCCCAACCCTCAAATTTCCTTCCTCTCCCCGTCCCTCAAATTTCCTTGCTCTCCCAGATCCCTCAAATTTCCTTCCTCTCCCCATCCTCAAATTTCCTTCCTCTCTCCCTCCCTCAAATTTCCTTCCTCTCCCCCCTCCCTCAAATTTCCTTCCTCTCCCCTCCTCCCTCAAATTTCCTTCCTCTCCCCTCCTCCCTCAAATTCCTTCCTCTCCCCCCTCCTCCCTCAAATTTCCTTCCTCTCCCTCAAATTTCCTTCCTCTCCCCCCTCCCCCTCAAATTTCATTCCTGTCCCCCTCAAATTTCATTCCTCCCCTCTCCTTTCCCTCCCCCTCACATTTCATTCCTTCCCCCCTCCCTCCAAATTTCCTTCCTCTCCCCTCCCTCCCCTCAAATTTCCTTCCTCTCCCCCTCCCCTCAAATTTCATTCCTCCCCCCCCTCCCTCAAATTTCATTCCTTCCCCCTCCCTCAAATTTCATTCCTTCCCCCCTCCCTCAAATTTCATTCCTCTCCCCCCCTCCCTCTAATTTCCTTCCTCTCCCCCCCCTCCCCTCAAATTTCATTCCCCCCACTCCCTCATATTTAATTCCTCCCCTCCCTCAAATTTCCTTCCTCTCCCCCTCCCATTTCATTCCTCCCCCCATTCAAATTTCATTTCCCCCCCTCCCTCATATTTCATTCCTCCCCCCTCCTCGAATTTCATTCTTCCCTGACACCCGGTGGGGGCGGCGGGGAGCACTCTCTGTGTGCTTCCTCTTCAGCTCCCTCGCGCGCCGCGTACTGATGCCGGAGCCGGAAGATGACGTCATCTTCCGGCTCCGGGCATCAGTAAGGTGCGCGAGGGAGCTGAAAAGGAAGCACACAGAGAGTGCTCCCTCGCGCGCCCGCTCGCCGGTTGTCAGCAGGGCCAGCCTCTGGGGCGCCCTGAGGTGACCGGCTGCTGGGCCCCCCAGGAGAAGAGGCTGGCCCTGTGGGTACATACCGGGGTCGCAGGGCCCCCTGTGACCCCGGTATGTACCCACTGAATGTGGGGCCCGGACGACCTGAGCAGTCCGGGCCCCCCAGAACCGCCGGGCCCATGACAACCGTTGCGGTTGTCATGCCCTGATGGCGGCCCTGGCAGCAATGATGGTGTAGCAGTTTGCTGTCCATTCTCAAAATAATAGTCAGAAACCTTCTGTTGCTCTGGAATTTGGGAAATGTTCTTCTGAGGATCTAAATCACATTATCCCGAGAATCATGAGTCCCTTATTTTTGACAAGTATCTCACAAATGCTATGAAGCTGGTTATTTGAAGATTTCTTAGCACTCAGGACACCAGACGTACTAACGAGTTTGCTCACCTTGAGAGCAAATAAAAAGGTGAAATTATTCTGACTAATAGACTGACTAAAACTCCCTGATCCACTTTGAAAGCACCCAAATTAATGCAGATTGATTATATAAGGTTATAGTGACCCACTGTCATCATGATACATGCCATATAGTCAGCACAAACATACTATTTAAAGTGTAACAATGACCCTCAGTTTTAATGCACTGTTTATCAGGTCTGTCTGTGGCTACTTGCCTTAGGCCTTCCACACCAGGAAAATACTCTCATGCCATAACTGTCTATATGATACGTAGTGAAGAGCAGTTACACTCATCACGTATGGTAAGTAAAACTGATGTAAACACAGATAGCTGTCATACTGCGGCTGCTAAACGTTTACACTTAGCCCAGATCACTGTTCATTGACCGAGCTGCAGGATGTGAATGCTCAGTCCAAATTGTGCATACGGCATGCATGTGATGCATGCAAAACCTGGATAAATACCAAGGCTCTGTCCAAATTGTGCACGTGGCATGTGATGGTTTTACAGGACAATCTGGAGCAGTCATTCCAAGCCACTTGTTTGACGGCTTTGTGGGTCTGGGTTAGAGCTGCATACTTTTTACAAATTGCTGCAGTTCTAAGCCAATCACAGACTGTGAGCTAGTCCAAGGTGATCTAGGTACCATGGGCTTGTAATCTTCTAAATTTGTCATGGTACTTGGAGTCAGGGCCACCATCAGAGGGGTACAGCGAGTATCACTATATATGGACCCCCAGGCCACTGCTAGCTTGTATAATGAAGAGGGCGCCCAGTAGACTCCTGAGCCCCGGCTGTCAGAGCGTTGCCAAGGCTTATCACGGCATTTCTCAGATGCAGCACAATACAGGAGCTCGTAACAGAGGGAGAGGACCGGCCACTTGCTGGAGGCGTAAGAGGTGGAGTCTACTGGGCCCCCTCTTCACTATGCAAGGCAGCAGAGAACCTGCCCAGTACTCTATTCCCCACCAGGGAATAGAGTGCCCCCCTCCCTGGCCACAGGTTAGAGGCAGGGAGGGGGGAATAAACAAAATGTAATTTTAAAAACAAATCTTTTCACAGAACACAGCCCCTATCCTTCCTAACCCACAGATGTACACTCACACACTGTATCCACTGCACTCACACACTGCATCCAGTACACATACACATACTGCATCTACTACACACACACAGCATCCACAACACATGCACACTGCATCCCTTACACGTGCACTGCAGACTTTTGGGCAGTCTTGGTGGCCCAGGTCTTGAGCTGTGTAAGAAGCTCTAAAATTTCTGATGGCAGCCTTGCCTAGAGTGACCCTTTGAAGTTATACACAGAATCGTTACTATGATTTAGACATGTGCAACTCATTTCGGTCCAAATTTAAATTCAGACGAATTTCGGCAATTCGGACATTCGGATGCTTCCAAATTGCTGAATTTCCAAAGTGCCAAACCGAATTGCCGAAGTGCTGAAGTGCTTCGGATTTTTGAAAAGTGGCAAAACAGGAGAGGGAGGGAAAATTAAGGGAATGATGACAGGAATGCAACCTACCTCTAGCCATACCTCTAACCCTACTAGGGTTAGGATTATGAAATTGCCAAAGTCCCGAATTTTGGAAGTGCCGAACCGAACCAAATTGCCAAAGTCCTGAATTTCAGAAGTGCCGAACCAAATTTTTTGCCCATGTACATCCCTACTATGAATATACATCATAAAAATAGTGACAGTAGCAATGGCTTTCGTGACAATAGTATTGGCATTAGGAAATTCATTAAACCTTAACTCCAATTTAATGACTATATTACAAAAAAAGGGAGCTATCCACACTCTCATCACCTGTAGACCTATGTGCACTGTACCTAGGGCTGGCAAATCCCTAATCTATATAGTAACAGCAAAGACTGATAAAGATGCCTGAAGGGATCGAAACGTTGCTGTATCTGTCATGTTTTTCCAATTAATCTGTTGTAACTATAGACCTTAATCCTGCTTGCCATTGATACAATGTCATCAAGCTGACTGTGTTTTTGCGAAGCGTGGTTCTCATCTGAATTTAATACTAAAATAGTTAAACAATATAATTCCTTTATGGGTGCAGAATGTCCACTGGCACTTGGCATAGGCTCACCATAATACCCCATTATGGCAGTGATGTATAACCTTGGCACCATGGATTGCAGGGAATGCAGTTTGTTACGCTATTAGCTGGGATGTAAAAGTTCTTCATCTTGTATTTCTGTCTATCTGGCCGCTGCTTTTTCTATGGACAAGTCAAATCCATTAAACAAAGTGAGAATGCCTACCTTTTTCTCCCGGAAACGATTTCACAACCCTGGCATATGACACGATGAAGATGAAATATTGAAAGACTTAGTCATTTCTTTAGATGCAAGACATGTTGAAATTTAGTGGCAGACAGTATAGATTAATAGAAGAGAGAATGGTGTATGTTATGATTAATTGTTTGTAAGTAGAAATGTTGTAGCTACTCCCTTTCCTGGCCTCTTGCATGGATACAGACAAGAATGCTCCTTCCCACCAAAGCAGGCTCTGTTTGCACATCTACTTTTAATACCGTCAATCAATAAGGCAAATAATGTACTCCTTTATGTATGCATACCAAAGAAGTTACAATGTATTTCCACAAGAAACCAATTAGCAGTACAATAAATGGAGATCACGGTACTTTCACTACATGGTCAAAATATATAGACATCAGCTTGTCGATGATCTTACCCAAGACCATCGGTATTAAAAGGAGAATTGGTACTCCCTGCTCAAACAGCCTTAATGTCAGTGGTAATGGACCATTTACCTAAAATGAGGCATAGGGCCAGCATCACAATATTACGTTTTAACGCTAGCAGGTCTGAAATCTAGATCACTAACATAACTAAACCTTGACAAAGTTATGCATTGGGAAGACATTACTAGACTGGTCCCACTATAAAACTTACAGGTCCCCTTCCTTGCATAAATAGTATGAAAACAAAATCAGATGGAAACATTTACTGTGTTAAAAGGATTAAAACTCTCATTTCTGCTTTGAATTACAATTCAAAGCGAGTGAGGAAAAACCCCTCCTGGACATCTCCCTAAAAGGTGTTACTAAGTGGATTTATAAAATAAGCCAGAAGGAACAGGTGGTCAACTGAAGTGGTTTCGGAGACCGAAGTAGTCCTTTAAAGATGCCCTATCATCCCCTCTGCCTGACTTCACCAGCTTTTTTTTTTTGTTTATTTTTTTTATAAATTATGCGTAGTGTTCCTTATGTATAATCTGCATGTTGACAAAAACTGACAAAGGCTAAATGGCTGTTAGCTCTTGATAAAGGCCTGAGATGCGAAACGCGTCCAGCGCTCCTGGGCAGCTCGCAATGACTTTTTTCCTTTTTCTCTTATTCCCTTGGTATCTAGCCATTATATGTGACTGACTTGCCATTAATATATTCAATGTTTTGACACAACCAGGGATTAATAAAGATAGAATTTTATTGTGATTCCTATTATGGCTTTCCTCTTTGGAGTGAGTTTTGGAATTATATTTGTAATGTTGCTTTGATGGGTTATTCCAGAGTGCATCCAAAAATGAGCTACATGAACCTATAACAGGTCTTTGCACCAACGCTGCATGCATTAAAGGGGCACCCAGACCATTTCATCTCATCTCAGACCATACTCCCTACTTAGAATACTATGCAGGGAATGCTGCTGAAACGCTCCTTGCATTATCCTGGTGAACACCATGAGCAAAGGCACTATAGCGAAGTTATACCATAACTTTACAATCATCATACAATAATGTGGCTTTACAATCAGATAAATAAGAAAATCACATCACATTTAAATCACATTTTAGTTGCATAAATTATTCCCAGAAGAGCCCCGTCCCTGGCTGTACTCCCACTCACACCCCTAAGAATAAAGTGTCCATCTTGGTGCATTTGAAATATTGGGAGGAATATAGATGTGAAAATATAAATTGGAAAGGGAGATATTTACTTGGGGAAAGTGGATATATAAATTGGAAAGGGTTCCCTGTTCCAAACATATTGCTACAGGAGACCACTTTTGACCTCCTTGTTCATGTTATATTGCTTTGTGGCCAAAGTAGTGGTTTATGTTACTGTTATTTTGTAACTAATCGGTTTTCTTTATTTTGATTTCTGTATTATTGTTTATTATTCCATGCTCTTTATGCGACCAGTCGCCCAACTTTTAATGTGTATCCCTAACGTGCATGTGTCTTACTTCAATGCTCATGATATCACTGCATATTGGATACAATGTGTCATGCAATACCAAAATTGATGTATATTGATATACAATGCTATTTATATACCATGACTGCTCTGTAATTATCTTGAAACTTGACAAATAAACACAAATGAAACAAACAAAAAAGTGCTTTACAGGTCTAGAGTGTCCACAAGTATCAGGGTTTATAATTCTAGTTTTATATAATCCGAATATATTGACTATATGTGATTAATATAATATGTTAGGGTTTACACCCTGTTCCAAATTATTATGCAAATTATATTTATCTAATTTACCTAAATAATTGATGTAAATAACAGCATAATTCTCATGTTATCAACTATTAAGAGTACAATTCAAATTTTATTGAACAAACCTCCTGATGATAACAGTATTTTTTTAAACATAAACTTACAATGCACTGTTCCAGATTATTACGCACAGTAAGTTTCAAAACACTTTACAGGTTGTAAAGAACTGAAAATTGTCATTTGTTGTGTTTGCAGCATATTTACTGAAATCAAAAGCTATTTCAATCAAACTTATAACAACATTTTAACTTTTTAAACATTTTAACAGGTCACGTTACGTTTTAACACAGGACCCCTTATTTGATAGCAGATTCACAAGTCTTGCATCCATTAAACTTGTGAGTTTTTGGACAGTTTCTGCTTGAATTTGTTTGCAAGATGTCAGAATAGCCTCCCAGAGCTGCTGTTTGGATGTAAACTGCCTCCCACCCTCATAGATCTTTTGCTTGAGGATGCTCCAAAGGTTCTCAGTAAGATTGAGGTCAGGGGATGCATAGCAGCCATTGATGCAAAGGTATTCTTTGCAGCATGAGATGGTGCATTGTCATGCATGAAGATGATTTTATTACGGGAAGCATAGTTCTTCCTTCTGTACCAGGGAAGAAAGTGGTCAGTCAGAAACTCCACATACTTTGCAGAGGTCATCTTTACACCTTCAGGGACCCTAAAGGGGCCAACCAGCTCTCTACCCATGATTCCAGCCCAAAACATGACTCCACCACTGCCTTGCTGACATCGCAGCCTTGTTGGAACAGGGTGGCCGTCCACCCACCATCCACAACTCCATGCATCTGGACCATCCAGGGTTGCAGGGCACTCATCAATGAACAGGACTGTTTGAAAATTAGTCTTCATGTATTTTTCTGCCCAATGCAGCTGTTTCTGCCTGTGAGCTTTGGTTAGTGGTGGCCGAAAAGAAGGTTTATGCACAGTTGCAAGACTCTGGAGGACTCTACACCTTGATGTCCGTGGGACTCCAGAGGCACCAGCAGCTTCAAATATCTGTTTGCTGCTATGTAATGGTATTTTAGCAGCTGCTCTCTTGATCCGATGCATGGATTTGGCAGAAATCTCTGCTCTGAATCAGCCACAAATCTCTTAATAGTGAGATGATCACGCTTAAGTTTTTGTGAAATATCTAATGTTTTCATACCTCGTCCAAGGCATTGACCTATTTCACTCTTTTCGGCAGCAGAGAGATCCTTTTTCTTCCTCATATTGCATGAAGATGGTGCTCTGCTTAATAATGTGGAACACCCTCCTTTAGTAGTTTTTCCTTAAATTGTTCTCACCTGGCAATCTTAATTATCACAGGTGTCCGAGATTGTTTTCAGTGATCAAAAGAGCCCTGAGACACAATGCCATCCACGAGTTAAACTGAAAAACAAAATTTTTAATCTTTGTGACACTTAAATAGAATTTGCATAATAATTTGGAACAGGGTGTAGGGTTGGACATTGGTAGAGTTAAAAGGTAGGGTTTTGGAGAGGCTTAAGTCAGTATATGTGGGAGGGGCCATAAATCTTTTGGATGAAGCTCCTGGTCTTGATGCTACCTTGCAATGTTCCTGTCTGTTGTGGCTGTACTTACCTTATCCGGGGGCCGGCCAGGGTGCTCAGTTCAAGCCACGTGCGACTCGAGCAGTTCTGCTTCCACACAATCCGCGTGCGGCACAATCTTTCCTTCTGAGTGGGCCGCGTGCACTGACCACGGTGAGTGGTCGCACGGCTCGCATCACGAGCACGCTGTTAAAGGCGCAGTGGGAGCCAAAAGTAGATTCAGGCTTCCATTTGACCACGTTATTTTGACGCGCCCACACACACGCACGTTGTGGGGGGCGTGGGCATGACGTTGGCCAATCAAATGTTAGTTAAGGATATTTAAACTTTCCTAGCCCCATCTACTTTACCCTGTTGTTGTTTCTGTTTCAGTACCCTTTAGTGCGTTCTTTGATCTATTGTTTTTATTCTGATATTGACCTTGGCTTTTTATCTGACTGTGAATTTATTTTGAAGCCTTTCCTGTCTTATTTGCCCATCTGACTGATTACTGTGTACCTGACTTTGACTAGTTCTTGTTTTTCGCTGTCTCTCCGGTACCCTGACCTGGGCTCGTCTCTGATTACGCTTTTTCTCTGTCTAGCATTTAGTCCGGCCATTCAAGGCCCAGTAATACGTTATTTCCTCGTCTTTTCCCTTGCTATCCTATATTCTGCGTATTGGGGTATTACACCGTGACATTTGTTTAGTGAACACACCTTATTTCTCTTACAATTCCCTATTTACTAACATTAATATCATGCATCCTATCACATATTGCTAAGGTATTACATACCATCACCTAGTCACATTCACTTAGACACATACCTAATTATATTCACCCCCAATAAATTACATATACAGGGAGTGCAGAATTATTAGGCAAGTTGTATTTTTGAGGATTAATTTTATTATTGAACAACAACCATGTTCTCAATGAACCCAAAAAACTCATTAATATCAAAGCTGAATATTTTTGGAAGTAGTTTTTAGTTTGTTTTTAGTTATAGCTATGTTAGGGGGATATCTGTGTGTGCAGGTGACTATTACTGTGCATAATTATTAGGCAACTTAACAAAAAACAAATATATACCCATTTCAATTATTTATTATTACCAGTGAAACCAATATAACATCTCAACATTCACAAATATACATTTCTGACATTCAAAAACAAAACAAAAACAAATCAGTGACCAATATAGCCACCTTTCTTTGCAAGGACACTCAAAAGCCTGCCATCCATGGATTCTGTCAGTGTTTTGATCTGTTCACCATCAACATTGCGTGCAGCAGCAACCACAGCCTCCCAGACACTGTTCAGAGAGGTGTACTGTTTTCCCTCCTTGTAAATCTCACATTTGATGATGGACCACAGGTTCTCAATGGGGTTCAGATCAGGTGAACAAGGAGGCCATGTCATTAGATTTTCTTCTTTTATACCCTTTCTTGCCAGCCACGCTGTGGAGTACTTGGACGCGTGTGATGGAGCATTGTCCTGCATGAAAATCATGTTTTTCTTGAAGGATGCAGACTTCTTCCTGTACCACTGCTTGAAGAAGGTGTCTTCCAGGAACTGGCAGTAGGACTGGGAGTTGAGCTTGACTCCATCCTCAACCCGAAAAGGCCCCACAAGCTCATCTTTGATGATACCAGCCCAAACCAGTACTCCACCTCCACCTTGCTGGCGTCTGAGTCGGACTGGAGCTCTCTGCCCTTTACCAATCCAGCCACGGGCCCATCCATCTGGCCCATCAAGACTCACTCTCATTTCATCAGTCCATAAAACCTTAGAAAAATCAGTCTT